CAGACTCTACTCTGGAGGGGACAGCCTAACGATGGAGTTAAAACTCATCTTGTGCTCTGATCTCTGAGGACAGAGTCTAACGATGGGAGTTACAGCAAACATTGTTTTAACCAGCACCTTATGAACCGGCACTCTCAATAAACCGGCAAAAATTACGTACCTGAAATACCATAGGTTTACTGTATTATTGAAATGTCCAAGGTAGCCAGTTAAGTGTATGAGTGAGAAGGTCATCTTCTGTTAAGTTTTATTTAAAGCAAAGTTGCATTGTTATTTAAGTGCTTTCTGCTGTAAAAGTATAACAGAGATACCCCCCTGCGTAGTGCTTCTATTACTTAGTGTGAGTGTTTACATGGGTTATGTGGACTTCTTGATCAACCAGAATATTCCTGCTCCCATAGGTGCCAGTTAATGAAACGTTTGCTGTATAACTCGCTTCTTGATCCTACAATGGAGTTAAAACTCACCACATGATCTGATCCCAAAAGACATAAGACCATAAGGTATAGGAACAGAATTAGGTCATTCAGCCCATCAACTGCGCTCCGCCATTTGATTATGTCTGATAAAGTTCTCAAATCCATTCTCCTGCCTTCTCCCCATACCCCTAGATAGAGTCTAACAATGGTGTTAAAACTCACTTCATGCTCCGATCTCCGAGGGCAGAGAGAGTCCAGTTCATCGAAAAAAATGACACAAGGTGCCGAATTCCTTGCTCGCTGGAATACTTGTCGTACTGCCCGTTCACTCTCACCAACGTACTGCAGTTAAACAAACAAACATCAGGACACAGCCCCACTGTTAGAAAAGACAGACAGAACCTTCATAATACTCTGGGTTTCAAGGCCCCATTACCTCCCATACACACAAAGACAACTATGTGAAAATGAAGATTCTGGGTCCCACCTCTCTTTTACCACTGGTAGTTCTCAGTCCCAAAACACACCCTGCTTCATGGCGCTCTTAGACATGCAAGTCAAGGCTGACAGTGAACTGCAGGACTGGGGGAGCCCAACATGTCGGACCAAGGGAGCCCAACACAGGAAGATGGGATTTGGTGAATGTGCCGTAAGGGACTGAGGGAGCCAGGCACAGTCAGGAAAGGAGAGGGAGCGCTCTGATCAAGGACGCCTTACACTGTGGGAACATGGTTGGGATATTCTGCAAACGAACCAGAATGGCAGTCTGCACATGACTCACCATGTTTAACAGCTCAGGGCCTTTCACAGAGATGAAATTCAGTCCAGACTCATTCGCAACAGCCTAAAGACAGGGAATTAAATTATTCATCAATCTCAAATTAAAATACATTTCCAACCACAAACAAACTTATTTCTCAGTGAGATTGCCCAGTGTCACTGTTCTCTTAAAGAGTATGTGACA